TTTCTAAATGATGATAGTCAATCTTTGCCCTGCTATTCAGATGTTCTTCTGCCTCCTACATCACTGATGCTATTTATTGTATAGACTGCCTTGCTGGCTTGTTTTGGCCATCTAACATTAGCTGTTCATGTTTAAAAGCTCTCTCTGATGGTGTATTTGTTATTCATTGGTGATTTTTTCCAGAAGCCAGCCAAATGTTTCTGCTAGCCTTACTCTGCAGGTATTGGGATATATGAAATGAGCTTAAGAACCAAGTAACCCCTTTTAATACGTGACTGGTTTCTGAATGAAAATCAAAATATGCAGCAATTAAAGCAACTGTAGATAATGCAATTAAAAACATAAAGCTTGGGACAAGAGGTAGGGCAAATTCAGGAGGCCAGGTCCTCAGAACTTGCTTTTTCTACACACCCAGAAGTAGTTCTTTCCCATTCTGACACATATTCTTTTTTACCCAAGTTTATTGGAGATTTTCAGTCTTAGCTGCCGCTTCCATTTAATCTTTCAGCCTGGTAACCTGCCTGTCTAGTTTGCAGTGAGTGGAGTCTTTTTTTTAAAAACAAAGCGAAACAGACACATTTTTTGTGCTTTTTCCACAATGAAGTACTCAGTGACTCCGGTTTAATGTTAAGCAAAAAGAAGCCAATAATACACGCAGAAATACCATCAGAAAACTGCATTTCAGCACCAGTGAGAGAGTGGTTTTTCAGATGGGGCTTTGCAGTATCTTGCTTTCAGACAGACATGGCATTGTGATGGTTCTGTGACTACAGCAATTCATCATCTTTTCAATTAGTCACTTTGTCATTGTGCATTGAGATTTTTAATTGAAAACATTTCTACAAAGCAGAAGACATCTTAGAAAATATATGGAAAATGTACTTTTGAGTAAATATTTAATAGAATTTCTATAATTTTATTTTCAGTGAGTAGTTAATTTTCCTGTACTTTTTGTATAAAATAACTTACTTATGCAAACTCATTATTACTTTTAAAGCTTCTTGGTTGAGTTTAAATCCATTTAAACAAAATGATAAATTTAAATTATGAGAGATTTTTAGTGTAAAGTGGTTCATTACAAAACAGCACAGACTATGAACTTGCAGGTTACTGAGAATATGATGGAGTATGTAGGGAAGTCTCAAGTTTTATGGTTTTAGGCTGGCAGCTTATGCACATGTGGAAATTGTAAGGAATTCTTATTTTACTTTGTGCATTCAATATGTGTAGTAACTTTTATTTGTTTGAATACTGGTAGAATAGCAGCAGTGTGTTTAGACAGAAAATCCAAATCCCTTCCTCTAGATGGAAATACTGCTAACTCTGATTTTTCCAGATTAAAACCCAGCAGTTCATGAGTTATGTTTTCTGTTTTAAGATGCATCCTGTATAAAATATCTGACTAAGTAAATTGTGGATTTCATGTGGTGTTTGATGTTCTGTTGATTCTCTAAAAGGACCCAGCAAAGGACTTTTTTTTTTTTTTCTTTTTTGACAAGATGATGGAGAAGAAAAAGAGTTATAATTGCTAGCACAATATCTAACTACATAGCTTGTCTCTGATCCTGTGAGGCTTTATGCTGCCTTAAAGGGCCTCTTAAAACTTTCCCTCACCTGTAACTCTTCTCAATGCCAGTATACCTGAATAGGTAATTTTAATCTATTTTTTCTCACTGTAGTGTAATTTTGTTTTCAGTGACATTTTCCTATCACTGTTATTGTTTAAACTTTCTTTAAAAATAATAAAGTCGTCTTTTTTTCTGCAAAGCACCAGTTTTGTGGTGCTATGTAGTAGTATAGAAGAATGAGAAATTTCTGTTGCGATAAGTGAGTCCAGCTTTCTAGAAAATATGTAACTTGGAGTTGAATATTTGCTTTAATGAAAACTTGATGGTTTGATTCTAAATTGTGGACATCAGTATAAAGTTCACTGTAAATTTTGGGCCAGGTGATTGTCTTCATATGCTCATGTAGTTGAAGGCATTTCCTTTGTAGATCTGTCATCAGCAATTACTGATTGACTCTCACTGCTGTATCCTGCAAATGCATCCGGCATCTCTTGAACAGCTCACAGCTCCATTTGGGCTAGACTATAAAATAAAACAATTTAAAAAGTGCTATATTCTGTTGGAGCTATGATAATCTTAGTAGGAAAAATCAATGGACACTGTGCAAATACATGCTTTAGGCCTGATATAGATTAAAGTCTCTCAGTTAAGTTATGCAGTGATGTCCTTGTGGGTTAGATTACGGATAGATAGTACTGCATGACTGATTAAGCTATTATTGTACAAAACACAACATTATGTAAACAATTACTCATGTTGGCTATTCCTTCATGTGTTGTTATAGTAGATAGTAGAGTAGAGAGCTGTAGTCAAGTTGAGCTTACATTACTAGCTATCACACTTCAAAAGGGGTGATGGTAAGATTTTTCTGACATTATTTATGCTCCTCTATGACTTAAGATACTTTGAAAAATTATCTTCTAAACATCCTAGATTGTAGGATGGGACTTTTCTTTTGACTCTTTCATTGTATAAATCATCTGCTGCATGGGAGCAAAGAAGTGTCAGCGTCTTAGGGTAGATACCCTGCCTGTAGGATTATATTATGAACCACAATCTTTGTATAAATCACATGCAGTTACTTTTATCATTTTAACATTGATGGAGACCAGTAATTTTTAATTACATTACCAGATCTGTATTGATCAACACTTAAAACATAAAATTGAATCAATTTTCTATAATGTTTCATGATAGCTGAGGATATTACTTTGCAGCAGTCAGCAAGTATGTGGGGGATTTTAGAAAATATGTCTTTGGCTTTCCCTCTTGGCATTAAACTATGATAACAAGGAAAAAAAACTGTTGTAATTTATTAATAAATAATGAGAAACTGCAGTATGCACTTAGGAAATTCTTATCTTGAAAGTCTGTTGATGATGACAACCTTTGCCTGTTTCCTTCTTCTGGTGTTTATTTCTACTTCTGCTACTTCAGATGGTAACACTTGGGAGTTGTGATTAGACTTCTGTGAATAATTTGTTATTTTTTTTTAAATTAAGTAGGCTAAAAAGTTGTTTTGGCTGTAACAATGTTTTAGAATTTTTGTCTGGTCCCTGTCCCCCATGTTGTCGTCATCCCCCCCACCCTGCAGTGTTTTGGAGGTACACTTTTTCAATATAATGTGCCAGAGTTCCCTTCTCATGTGTGGATCTGGCTGAGGTGGCTGCTGCTGGCTGTATGCCTCCCATTATTTTTCAAATGTTCAGACATTTCATTAGCGCTGTTTGTATCCGCATTCTGCTGCCCTGAGGACATAGAGAATTGACTACAGGATCTAGTCAGCTCCTTCTGATCAGTCTTCCCAAGAAAAACTGGAAAAAGACTGTTTTTCTGGTTTTGGAGTCTATTGGCAAGAAGTAACAAATAGCTGAGTGTCAACAGTTCTGCACTGTACTGCCCTGGAATTACTTTGAGGTAGCGTACCACTCTTAGGGAAAAGACTCCTTTCCTGTCTGTTTCGGAGAGGTGAATGACAATGAAGTTGTCATGGTGAATCTACTGCTTGTAGCTTTTCATGTAGGTGGGTGACAGAGACCACATCGTAACTTGCTTTCAAAATTGGTTTTTAACTTTCAAATTTTTTACTATATTTGGTATTTTTTTTCTCAGAAACCTCCACCAGGAGATAAAACACTTCTTGATTTTGTGTTGTTTTGTTTCTAATTACTGTAGTAGGAGAGGAACCACTTTCTGAACAGTAGGAAACTACATTGGAAGGGGAGTGACTCTTATTGCTTTTTCCAGTATGTGGTGAAAGTGTAACTTACTGGAGCCCAGTCACCCATAATGCAGGCAACATCAGCTGCTTTCTGGAGTTAGCTGCTAGCAGAAATTTGTCAGCAACAGTTTAGAGCTTGGTTAAAATTTTTGGGTTGGTTGAATATGAGGTTTCTAACTTCTGTTTTCTGTCTCTGGTGCCCATTTTGGGAAGAGAGGTCAGGTTGTTGGGATCAAAAACTTTTACTATCCTTTCAATATCAGATGCTTGCTGTCCCTGTGGTTGCTTATACAGATACTCAGAGTGCATCTGTAGATCCCATAAAGCTTTTTTGCTTCTTTGGCAGCATTGGGAGCTTTATTGTCCATGTTGTGGACAGTGACGGGCAGTAGTTACTGCCAGTCGATTTGCTTTTTTTTTTGTCTCCAAGAGAAATTATGATGATGTACAAGATCTAACAGGACCCATAGTTAAAATCATTCTGAATTCCTGCACGTATCAGCAGAAGTGGAGCATATATGTTCTTTGTATCTGACATTCCTTAAGTAGTCAGCAGACTCTAGATTCAAAGCACACTTTTTTTTTTCTTTTTTTTTTAGATATACTGTTTCTTGCAGCTGCAGTAGTTTGAATTTTTCAACATAAAATCTACTGGAAAAAATTCAGCTGGCTTGAGCTGTAAGGGTACTTGTTTGCTGTTGAAAATCCTTATTGTGTTTCTAAGAGGAAGATAGTCTATTGCAGAAGATGTTGAATATTTATTACAGTATTGCATTGACTTGACAAAACATAGAGGTGTATGTTGAGCTCCTAAATTTGTGCTCATTGCTTGTTTTACTTAAATTAAGAATATATTGAAATGTTTTGTTCAAGCAGATTCTATTCCCTTTACAGAAGGGGGGTTTTCTAATTTAAAAAAAAAAAAAAAAAAAGGGTTTAACACTTTTATATCCATGAGACTGTTTATACATTATCTTCACAGTTATCTTCAGTTTTCTGGAGTGTCACCTTACTTTCAGTTGTTAAACAAAAACTCCCCTGCATTTCATGATATGAATGGAATGCAAGGGGGGGTGGAGAGGGGAAGGAAATGCCATATGTTTCTTCTGCTGCAATCTCTTGTTCTGTCCTATCTTCTGTCTTGAATAGTAATACTACATACTTGCATGGTCCTTAAATTGTTGTTTTTGCTAATTTTGTTATTAAAACAGGCAACAACAGAGAGACCTTTTATACAGAAGCTATTTCGACCAATTGCTTCAGGAGGACAGTTGCATACTTTGGGAGATCTGCTAAAAGATGTGTGTCCTAGTGCTATTGCTCCTGAAGGTACTGTAGAAATAACTTTTGTCCAAGAAGATAATTTTTTCTGTTGATTTATTGTTTGTTTTTTTAATATGGGGATTTTGTAGGTAAACTATGTCTCAGTACCAGAGTTTCAAATTTCACTCCTTCCTGGCCCCTTAATGTGCCCGTTATATGTCACCTACAATGTTTGGATAGAACAAAACTGAGTCCTTCAGCACTCCTAAAAAATTAATCTCTGGAAGTTTTATTTTAAAATTCATGTACTCATTTGCCATCATGCTATTCTTAATAAAAACACTCACATGCTATTTTCTGCATTTATAAAAGATATTCTAAAAGCAATGTCAACAGAAGTTTTATTTTCAGTTACCTTTAATTTCATATTGCATAAACTTTTTGTAAGTAAAACTCCAAAACTGATAGAAATTGAAGATGTTTTCAGAATATTTTTTCCCACTTTTTTGAAGCCCAAACTTTAAAAATGTATCAAAAAAGAAAGAGATTGTTTCAAGTATGTAATAGTTTATGTATGGTTACTAAGTAGTATTGAGTGACAAGATACCAGTTCATGTAGCATTGTGTCATTTCATACAAAAGCATTTGCTGATCAGCGCTTATTCAGAAAAATAAGGATTTTGGATGTCGTTTTAGCCTTAAAGATTACAACTATGGGAATTCTGATATGTAGGTGGGATAAATGTAAAAGTTATGTACTCTGCAAATGATGAACAAAATTATTTAATGTGAAATGTTTTTCATCTTGCTCTTGCTGTTGTCTTACCAGTACCTGTAAATGGGTAACTTTCTTTTGCAGTCCAAAAATTGCAATTTGTTTTGAGAAAAGTCTGACATTCTAGAGAAAATCTTGGCACAGAATTTACTGGTGTAGTATCAGTATCTTTTGACAGTAAAGCACTAAATTTGAAATCAGTTTAAAAATCTGTATGATGTTGTACATGAAAGCTGTGTAATTCAAAATCAAACAGTTGTCATGGATTTCTTTAAGTATGGTGATCTTAGAAATTGACTGAATTCTTGAAGTTTTTTTTACCCATGTTTAATACTTGTTAATATGTGGAAACAATTTCCAAAAATAGCAAAAGATAAGAAAAAATATGGAATGTTACTAGCCACGTGTCCATTTTTCCTAAAGTTACCATAAATCTTAGAGCATAATTATAGATATCAACTAACTGTCCAAAATATAAAGCAAGATACAAATAGATGCTTGAATGCCAGCACAAGCAAGTTTAACCATCTTTAAGTACTTAAGTGTGAGGATCTTACAGACACTAGTGAAAAGGTACAAAGTAAATTTAGAAAAAAAAAGAGTAAGAAGGTTGATGCATTTTGACTTGGAAGGCAGTCAAGAGCACAAATTAAATGAAAAAAAACTCAAAGCATTTGTGCAAAAGTTATTCCAGGATATAATGGATGTTAAATTTTTATGTGGATTTGCAAACGCTGCAGTTAGGGAATGTGCTAGTTACTACCTTTATTAAAAACCTGAATGTAATGTAATTTTATCTGAGTACCAATGACTTGATGCTTCCCATTAGTAGGCCTTCTTTTCAGATGTTGACATATGCATCAACCTTTAATAGCAGAACAGAAATGTGCTATTCTAAGTTTCTTGTTTCATTTTTGTTAGAGGCTAAAATAAACGCTATACTGCTTACTCAATGGGGGACAAAAATGGTGATTACTTAGAATAAAACAAACTGAAACTATCCTTACTCTTAAGAGGAACAATTTGAAATTTGGTGGAAGGGTTTCCTTGTATTGGAATATACCTGTCCCTGTATAAATCTGCTTAAATTTGGCCTAGTTTTGATCCTTTTAAGATTCTATTGAGCAGCTTCCAAATGTAGAGTTTAATAAATTTGGTCTCCCATACGGGTGTGAACTATCTAGGATTCAGCAGAATTTCTTCTGTAATGTGGCTGTGTATTGTTGTGTTGTTCAGCTGTTTCTCTTCTGTTGTCAGTGTTCTCCTCCCCTTCTGGTAGGTAACAGAAGGAAAGCTGTCTGAGTGAAATGCAGAAAATAATGTGAGCTCTTGAGGTGATATGGGGGTAGACTGATACACAGAGCCAGTGGAGGGGGAGGCAGACTGACTGAATAAGTAATTTGGAAGAAAATGAGAGATCTGGGAGTCATTAAATGTGATGGGGAGAGCGACTATAAACAACGTGGCAGGATGAAAGAGATTGGGGCAAAAGCCAAAAAGTGACATAATAACTGTGAACACCTGGACAGAGTACGTGGGGTATAGGAGATGATAAAAGGATGAGGGAGAAAAAGCAGCATACTGCGTGTGGATGATACACTGGGATTGTGCAAGACATCTGTGAAAGAACGGAAGTCCTGCTGGCAAAGTGATTTGGATGGTCTGGCAACCCGTTTGGAGAAACAAATAAATCAAAACTTGAAAAGAAGGGCCGTTTGCACTGGCAGAAGAAGAAGATGCAGGTGGATAGGTGGTCAGGTGGAGCTGGCGATAGTCAGATAAGGGACTGGGGAAATCTTGGTTCACGGCTTGCTGTACAAGTAGACTGCACCCCAGACAGGAACACAGAGTAGAAAATTAGGCATGGCAACATGGAAAGAAAAAAAGACCTAGGAGGTAAATCAGGAAGAAGAAGAACTAGGACAAAATGAAGGAATGAGAGAGAAAGGATCAGACTTATGGAAAATGACCTGAAAAGATGGGTGCCCATGACAGCAGTGATTCTTACTGCTGAGGAACGTGCACAGGGAAGGTCAGTGCGCTTACGAGGTGTGAAGGGCAGCACTGGTTTAGGCTTTACTGCTTCAGTTCATCATACTCTGTTCACTGATGATTCACCTTAGCCAATAAGTGAACTTTGATTATTCTCTTGGTTGGCTTAATCCATTAATCTCATTCACTATTCAGATGTAATGTGCACCGTATTTACTGTTCATGCTCTAAAACATCTTTGAGCTATTACAAACAGACAGACTGCATAGTATCACTTCTGAGTTTTGCCTGTAGAAATGTTAGCAGCCATAACAAGGACATACTTCTCCCTTTTCCAGCAAGTGGACTAGACTCCTGAGACTACAGAATCTGAGCATGTTTGTGCTGCTGAAAATCTCCCTTAAACACACTCAGTCAACTAATTTTCTCTCTGTTGCTGGTTCACTGAGAAGTTAAAAAGCTTCCTCTGTCAATGGGTGCTCTATCAGTTCAAAATGCAGAGGAGATGGTGGAGTTGAGTGTTTCTTTCCATTTTATGAGCATGTGAGAATTTAATTTGCAATAATTTTTTTTGAAACCTGGGAAACTATGCATAAATGTTTTTCTTTCATTTGAAGTTGAATGCTTGAAATTTAGAAGGTTACAGTTCTAGACTGCCTCTACAATATTAATTTCCGTACACAGGCACACTGATCATTTTACAGCTTATAATCACTCTCCACTTCTCATCTCCCTTTGTTTTCTGTCAGACTCTTGTCTTCCTGCGCAGGCTGGGCATGTTTTAGTGTCAGGGCTGTGTAGTGAAAAATCATTGTCCCAGCTGTTGAAATGATGGATGGCAAATGAATGTACTTCAGGAACTATTGTAATTAAGGCAGCCAGATACTGCCTTTGGGAATTGAATTCGGTGCTTCCTCCCTTAAGGAGTTCACAATCTTATTGGCATCATGGAGACATGGTGGGATGGCTCCTATGACTGGAGTGTTGGAATGCAGGGATACAGGCTCTTTAGGAAGGGCAGGCAGGGGAGATGAGGACAGGGTGTTGCCCTCTATGTCAAAGACCAGCGGGAGAGCATGGAGCTGGATGGATGGGAGCAGAACGAGATCTTGTGGGTCAGGATTGAAGGGCGGACAGGGACAGGCGACATTATAGTGGGGGTCTGCTACAGGCCACCCAGCCAGGAAGACCAAGTGTATGAGGCTCTCTATAGACAGATAGGAGCAGCCTCATGCTCACAAGCCCTGGTCCTCATGGGGGATTTCAACCACCCTGATATCTGTTGGAGGGACAGCACAGCATAGGCAAACCAGGAGGTTCCTGAAATACTTCAATGATAACTTCCTTCTCCAAGTGATAGAGGAACCAATGAGGAATGGTGCTATGCTGGACCTTGTTCTTACCAATGGGGAGGGGCTGGTGGGGAATGTGAAGTTTGAGCAGCCTGGGCTGCAGTGACCGTGAAATGCAGGAGTTCAAGATCATTAGGGCAGCGAGGAGGGTGCACAGCAAACTCACTACCCTGGACTTCAAAAAGAGTAGACTTTGACCTCTTCAGGGATCTGCTTGGTAGAGTACCATGGGATAAAGCCCTAGAGGGATGGGGGGCCCCAAGAAAGCTGGTGAATATTCAAGAATCACCTCCTGCAAGCTCAGGAGCGATGCATCCCAACAAAGAGGAAGGCAGGCAAAAATGCCAGGAGGCCTGCATGGATAAACAAGGAGCTCTGGACAAACTTGGACACAAAAAGGAAGCAAGGACAGGTAGCCTGGAATGAATACAGAAAAATTGTCCGCGCAGCCAGGGATCAGTTTAGGAAAGCTAAAGCCCTGAGAGCGTTAGATCTGTCCAGGGGCATAAAAGACAACAAGAAAAGCTTCTATAGGTATGTCAAGGATAAGAAGAAGACTAGGGAAAATGGGGGCCCTCTCTGGAAGGAAAAAGAAGACCTGGTTACCTGTGATAGGGAAAAGGCTAAGGTACTCACCTTTTTTGCCTGTCTGCCCCAGCAAGTGCTCAAGCCATACCACCCAAGTTGCAGAAGGCAAAGGCGGGGAATGGGAGAAGGAAGAAACGCCCAGTGTAGGATGGTCTCAAACTGGATCAAGTTTGAGACCATCTAGGGAACCTGAAGGTGCACAAGTCCATGGGACCTGATGAGGTGCATCTGCGGGTCCAGAGGGAATTCGCGGATGAAGTTGCTAAGCCATTGTCCATGCTATTGGAGAAATCGTGGTAGTCTGGAGTTCCCACTGACTGGAAAGGGGGAAATATACCTCCAATTTTTAAGAAGGGAAAAAAAGGAAGACCTGGGGAACTACAGGCTGGTCAGTGTCATCTCTGTGCCCGGCAAGATCATGGAGCAGATCCTCCTGGAAATTATGCTAAGGCACATGGAAAATAAGGAGGTGAATAGTGACAGCCAGCGTGTCTCTACGAAGGGCAAATCGTGCCTGCCAAATTTGGCAGACTTCTGCAGTGATGGATAAGGGGAGACAAACTGACATCATGTACCTGGACTTGTGCAAAGCATTTGACACTGTCTTGCATGACATCCTTGTCTCTAAACTGGAGAAACATGGGTTTGCTGGAAGGACCACTTGGTGGATAAGGAACTCGCTGGATGGTCACACTCAAAGAGCTGCAG